ATAATAATATCCAAAGCAAGTGATGCCCAATGCAATCGCTCCCCACCCGCTAACTGATGCCCAGCCAGTTCCCAGCAGTGATCGCTGCTCCCCGGCCAACCCCCCCAGTTTCTCTACTGCCCTTGATGTCATATGGTATGGAATGGCCCTTGGGGCAGTTTGGGTCAGCTCTCCTGGCTGTGCCCCCTCCCAGCTTCTTGTGCCCCTGGCAGAGCATGGGAAACTGAAAAGTCCTTGACTAGCATAAGCAGTGCTGAGCGACAACTCAAACATCAGCGTGTTATCAACATTCTTCTCATACTAAAACCAAAACACAGCGCTATGCTTGCTACTAGGAAGAAAATTAACTCTATCCCAGCCAAAACCAGGACAATCGCCCAGCCTGTACTGGTACTGGTGATTGCCCCAACCCAGGTGCAGGACCTTGCCCTTGGCCTTGTTGAACCTCATGAGGCTCACATGGACCCACCTCTCCAGCTTGGCCAGGTCCCTCTGGATGGCATTCCGTCCCTCGAGCGAATCACCCGCCCCACTCAGCTTGGTGTCATCCGCACAGTTGCTGAGGGTGCACTCAATCCCACTATGTCAATGATGAAGATATTAAATAGTATTGGTCCCAGTATGGACCCTTGAGGAACATCACTTGTTACTGGTTTCCACTTGGACATTGAGCCGTGTAGTGCAAGTCTTTAGATCAGCCAATTCCTGATCCACCTAACAGCCCATCCATCAAACATATATCTCTCCAATTTAGAGGTATGAATGTTGTGGGTGACCCTACCAAAGGCCTTACAGAAGCCCAGGTAGATGACATCCGTAGCTCTTCTCTTGTCCACTGATGCGGTCATTCCATCGTATAGAAGGCTGCCTGGAGTCAGGCACAATTTGCCTGTGGTGAAGACACGTTGGCCGTCTCTAATCACCTCCCTGCCTTCCGTATATTTTGATGTATCTTCCAGGAGGATCTGCTCCATGACCTCATCGCGCTGTTGGGACAGCACAAAGCGGTTTGAGGGCTTTCCTGGCTCTGGGTGGGGAGGAGTTGGGCAGCAGCACCGGACCTGCTCCCCAGCCAGCCCTGCTCCGTGGGGAAGCAGCACTGCTGGCTGGGGCAGGAGGTGGCACGGCGCAGGAAGGGTTAACCAGAAGCCGGGCACCAGGGAGATGCTGAAACTCAGCAGGGGAAAATCAGTTTTATGGTGGTTTAAAATCCTCCTGGGTGACGGTGGCACACAGACACCAGCCTTGGCTGCCAGCTCTGATCTTATCCACCTCCAGTCAAAGCTATCAGTTTATGGCTCCTGGTTCCTCAGCGTGGACTTTTAGGTGCTTTTCCATGATAAAAAGGGGACAAAGTTCCCAGGGATGCTCGCCCCGGTTGTTTCACCCCCGCTGGCTCGAAGTCACGCGATGCCCATTCCCGTCCTTGCCCTCCGGGTCGCTCGCCGGTGCCCGGGTTTGCACCAGCCGCGGCTCCTTGGCCCCCCCTGCTGACCCCCCTGTTGCTCTTCACCCCCAGGTTTTTGGGAGAAGCCCGAGTGCCCCTGCGAGATGTCCTCTCCTCCCCCAGCCTGGCGGCCTCCTACAACCTCCCCTTGCTGGACACCAAGAAGCAGAGCACTGGGGTGAGTCCCTGCGCGGCGACCAGTACGAGCAGTGTCCCTCCAGTTGCAGCTCCCAGTTGGAGACCAGTCTGAGCAACGTCCCTACCAGTGGCATCTCCCACTTTGAGACCAGTCTGAGCGCTGTCCCTACCAGTGGCATCTCCCAGTTGGAGACCAGTCTGAGCAACGTCCCTACCAGTTGCATCTCCCAATTTGAGACCAGTCTGAGAAACACCCCTGCCAGCTGCATCTCCCAATTTGAGACCAGTCTGAGCACTGTCCCTACCAGTGGCATCTCCCAGTTTGAGACCAGTCTGAGCAACATCCCTGCCATTTGCATCTCCCAGTTGGAAACCAGTCTGAGCAACATCCCTGCTAGTTGCATCTCCCAGTTGGAGACCTGTCTGAGCAACATCCCTCCAGTTGCATCTCCCAATTTGAGACCAGTCTGAGCAATGTCCCTCCAGTTGCAGCTCCCAGTTGGAAACCAGTCTGAGCAACATCCCTGCCAGCTGCATCTCCTAGTTAGAGACCAGTCTGAGCAACATCCCTCCAGTTGCATCTCCCAATTTGAGACCAGTCTGAGCAACATCCCTGCCAGCTGCATCTCCCAGTTTGAAACCAGTCTGAGCAACATCCCTGCCAGCTGCATCTCCCAGTTTGAAACCAGTCTGAGCAACATCCCTGCCAGTTGCATCTCCCAGTTGGAGACCAGTCTGAGCAATGTCCCTCCAGTTGCATCTCCCAGTTTGAAACCAGTCTGAGCAACATCCCTGCTAGTTGCATCTCCCAGTTGGAGACCTGTCTGAGCAACGTCCCTCCAGTTGCAGCTCCCAGTTTGAGACCAGTTGTCCCATCCTGGGCTCTTTGGCTTTGAGATTTGCCTTTCAAGGAGCAAAAGCCGCAGCTCAGGCAGGGAGCACGGGGATCACCCTCGCAGCCCGTTACCTCTCACCTTTCTGCAGCTCCCCTCTCCTTGAGCCTTTCCCTGGCTCTGCCTCGGCATCTCCCTCCTTCCTGCTCCCTTCCTGGCGGATGCAGCATCCAGACACGGATCAGCCTGGCCTGGGGCTGTCATTTAGCAGGATGGGGACCGGGTGGTCACCCCGCTGTGACCCCGCATGTCCCTCGTGCCCCGTGGGCCCTGGGACACCTCTCCCTGCCGTCCTCCTGCTCTGTCCTTTTTTCCCGGCATTTGCCGAGTTGCTGCCACTTTTTCTGCCGCATCCCCTACGCCTGGGCAGAACATCTTGGGTGGCATCGGCACCGAGGCTCGGGCCCCAAGAGAGTATTTCTGGACACCTGTATAATGATTATTTCCTTTTTTCCAGGCTTTCCTCATCCTGCAAGTGTCCTACATCCCCCCACCGGGAGCTGCGCCCCTGTTTCCCCCTCCGGCCCCCCCCGAGC